ACCACAAGATGAACATGAGCCTGCAATGCAATGCTGCGGCTAGTAAAGCGACCAAAACTCTGGCTTGCATCTATAGATGCTCCTCAAGCAAATCCCGGGACGTCATTCTCCCCTTGTACTTGGCCTTGGTGAGGCCGCAGCTGGAGTACTGCGTCCAGTTTTGGGCCCTGCAATTCAAAAAGGATGTGGAGAAGCTTGAGAGAGTCCAGAGAAGAGCCACATGCATGATCAGAGGTCAGGAAAACAGACCTTACGACGACAGGCTGAGAGCTATGAGGCTCTTTAGCCTGGAAAAGTGTAGGCTTGGGGTTATCTGATGGCCACCTATAAGTTTATCAGGGGTGACCATCAGTATCTGGGGGAACGTTTGTTCACCAGAGCGCCCCAAGGGATGACGAGGTCAAACGGTTATAAACTCCTGCAAGACCGCTTCAGGCTGGACATAAGGAAGAATTTCTTTACTGTCTGAGCCCCCAAGGTCTGGAATAGCCTGCCATCAGAGGTGGTTCAAGCACCTACATTGAACACCTTCAAGAGTAAACTGGATGCTTATCTTGCTGGGATCCTATGAACCCAGCTGACTTCCTGCCCTTCAGCAGGGGGCTGGATTCGATGGTCTATCGAGGTCCCTTCCAGCCCTAGTGTCTATGAAATCTATGATTTCACCAGTCTAATGCATTCATTAATCACAGCAGCTGGGTTCCCCACAGGATCATTTACTTAATACAGTAGATAGATGACCCTCATCTTATGTTTACAAAGCCTGACTTCAAAACTTTTAACATCTAAATTATGAATCTCCCCATTAAGAACCTGGTTACAAGTTAGGGAGAAAAACACGCCTGTACAGAAGAATGGGCCAGGTGCAAGTCAGGAAAACATTTCAGGAAAAGTAAACATCCTGTGACACCATAAAGAATAAAGACTAGGTCACACAGACAATTTTGGGTGATATGACAGCCACTAACACTATCATCATGATTAGATGGCAGATAGGTTTTGAGTTCAAATAATTCCTTACATGCTTCAGTCTCTAGATCCATGTTCCAAGACAGTGTTGATTCACAAACAAGATACACAAATAATGAAATGCCATGTGTGGTTATGAAAGCACAACTGCCCCTTAAAAATAGTAATATCCAGTAAGATACTGAAGTTGGCATCTCAACAGAGTGCAAGATAGAAAACAATGAAAAAGAAGCATAACTAGATATTTTAATAAAACTTTTTCCACATTAATTTCTCCATAATGGTGTCTTCAATTTCACTGGAAACAGTCAAATTCAAAATTAAGCAGCGTGCCACTAGCAAGGCCACCAGGCTAATGGAATCTGAATTTGAAAGCAAAAAATGGAGGCATGAGAACCAAAAGCAACAAGTTTCAGTAGCAGAATTGTAAAAGAAAGGCACGTGTGAACAGACTACAAAAAATGCCTCTATAAAAAGCCGGAATCTCTGTCACCTCTGCAACAAAACTGAAGGCACGCTTTCCCCTTCACAGAAAAGATGTTTGAGAGTAGGGGTGCACCAATAGAAAATTTCGGGGCCAATACTGATGGCGGACTTTTAGAGAGCCATATCGTCCGAAACCTATCTGATTCTGATACGTAGCCTGGCAGCATGGAGAGCAGCGTCCAGCTAGTAAGTCTGTTGTCCAGGGCCACATGCAGATCTTCAGAAGTTAATATGCATCTCCTTGAATCTTTGCACAAGCACACAGCGACCAGCTTCCAAAGCTGGTTACCGTGTGCTCGTTCAAAGATTCAAGGAGACACATATTAACTTCTGAAGAGCCACATGTGGCTCCGGACCTGCAGGTTGGCCACCCCTGATTTAGACTACAGACTTTCAGGTAGGAACTCCACTCTTACTGGGCGTGTCTATGCATACATTAATGCACCTTTTCTAAAGCGCATTAAGCTTAGTATCTCCAATGTGAGGTATTAATTAATATGCAGTACACTGCGCAAGTGCACAGTAGCGCATTTGCATGGTTTTTTAGTGACGTTAAATGTGCAGTAGACTATTTTACTGTCCATTAGAGTAATGTCATGGTTTTTTACATGACACTTTAATGCTCGGTAAAATAATCTACTGTGCATTACAGCACATGGGTAGGCACGCCCACTTTGAGTTTGTATTCTACCGGGCATAAGTCCCTGATCTGAGAGATACCACAGTACTAACAGCAGCAGAATGATGCAGTCCCAATGTTCCTCCCTCAAAAAAAATATTGAAAAGAATTGCTTTCAAGCTTAATATACACAGGAAAATTAACTGTATATTCTAAAAACTAAATCCATATCCCTTATTAGTTTTCCAAAGGATTCTTTTTAATTGGCTAAACAAGGCCATACTAACTGACAAATCCATAACTCTGAGTGTTAGAAAGAATCAAGCAATTCACAGAATAAAGTGACCTGCCAATCTTGTTTTACAAAGATTCAACTTCACATAAAAATGTAGCTTAAAAATATCTCCTTTCCTGTTACGAATCTACTGTTGTGGGCTTTACAGAAGGAAAAACCTGCTTACTATTCAACTCCTCTAGATTATTCAGTGTGCACCACTACACTTCTCCTACTTTAAAGATCAGGAGTCAGCAACATTTTCAAGCAGGGGCCCAGAATGATCAAGCTCATGTCTGACATGGGCCAGCAACAGGACCCAGCCATCTTCCACTGCTTCTCTTTACTGCCCAGCCGTGGAGTGGCCTGGGCGGAGCTCTCCTGCTGCCCAACCACAGCATGACGTAGCACAGGCATAGGCCCCCACTGTTGAAGTCACGGTTCCTTGGGACAGATAGGACCTAAAGGCCACAGGTTACTGTGGCCTATTATAAATTGTAGTGCACTTTGTTTATTGCACTATAAAACTTAAACCAAAATACATCTAATGCACCAGCATTTCTAAAAACCCCAGCTCAATCACTGTGAAAAGCCATCAGGAACTGCTGCCTTTGATGCTATCCCTTCAGCTTTCCAAATGTCCTCAACTGCCACAAAATCTTCCTATTCCTGGCTGAGCTCTCACCCTCCACTTCAAACTTGAGACAGGCATCAGCAGATGTACTATCAACAGATTAAATCACAGCCTTTGTTGACATATCACTGCTCAGCAGATTCATTACAGTGTATGCTAGGTTTACAGAAAGTTAAAAAGGGGTATTCTTCAATGCATGGCATTCATATGGTGTGTTATAATTATCAATCCCAAAATACAAACCTTTTCTCTCAAGTTACCTTTCTTATTGGAAATTTATATTATTCTCTATATTCCTATTTCATGATGCCTCAAAATCCTGAACTCTACGATCTATAACCTCTCCCAAAAACCAAGAGTTTGGGCTTTGGTAGATATGGTTGTAAAATGAGAACTTTCTGATTTTGAAAGCTTGGATAAAAGTTTAATTTTATAAACCATAAATTTGATGGTAATGATCAAAAGCCTTGACCAAAAACTAGAAATAGTTGAGCATAAATTGACTTCAAAGTAAAACAAATCAACCAACATTGTTCTCATCCCCTCAACAGCATCTTACATTTTAAGGCACTACTTGGCATCAAACTCAACCCTTTTAAGTTGTAGGGTGAGTACTTTTAAAAGCTTTAAAACTTTTTTCTCTCAATATTTAACTCCATTTCATATTTTGAATGTTAACAATCAGATCAATTAACAAATCAACAATGAATAATCTTAGTCTGCAACCAGATCAGCTGCCTGTTCCACAGACATCCAGTAATTTTAGGGTACATTAATAGAGCTAATGTAGAGATGTTAAATAATATACTACAAAGATATTTTAAAAGTGAATGAATATCACCTTTAGATGAACAATTTATAACAACATTTACAGCCATTTAGCTCAAACGTTACTTTAACCATCACCATGCAACTTTTCAGATATTTAAATCAAATGAAAGGGCTTGATTTTGAGAGAAAAATATATGAATTTACAGCATCTTGGAGTTAATCCAACTTCTTCCATGTAAATACACCCTGTAAAGCTGTTTATGCATGAATGACTGATGGAACCAAGAATTGTCAATCAGGAAATCATCTGCATGCATGCATAAACCCAACTATCCTTTTTGTCTTAATTAAGCATGGATGGGTTTTAAAGCGGAACAAACAAATAATAAAGACCCACCTTGTTTTGTATTTTTCACATTTATAAACCTGGAGATATGAGCAATAGATTATAAACCTTTGCAGAAACAAGACATTCAACTATGTACTCTACAATTACTATTTTATAGAGCTTCAAGTCTACTGAAGATCTGTTGACTACCATCGCTCTTTATGGCAATTTATTAGCCATACTCCCAAGACAACAATTTACAAGTATATTTGGAAATAACCTGCTCTTAATCAATAGAAGCAATCATGCTCATTTTGGTATGTCCAAGTACTCTTTTAGAAAAGCATTAACTTAAAGAATGTTTAGGTATTACAAAAAGTCACTGTTAGATCATCACCTTTTACAAAACCCATACAATGCTTAAATCTATTAATGTGAGATAAGGTTGAAGTACTGTTGACTGTTTCCTTGATTAAATCAGTTTCAATCAAACCAGTAATTGTTTAAATAAAAAAAAATGCAGTATTTTAAAACTTTAAATTATATACTAGTAACCAGATAACACTTACCAGAAAATTTGTAATTGGAAATATAATAAAAGGAAGGTTTAAATAACAAAGGGGAACTCAGAGCACTATCCTCTTTCAGCACTTTGACTGCCTGGACCATCTTGTGAGAGACAACTAGAAAAGAATCTATTTACACTCAGGAAAACTGTTTTCCTGCTACACAATTTCACAGCATCCTTCCTGAAGCTTCAAAAATCCAAATGGCTTCAATGTTTCCTACTGTTCTGTAACATTTATGATGGTTTGAATGATGCAGTTTTTGAGGTTAAGATAAACAAATGCGAACACAGTAGAAGGAACACATCTATATAGATCTTTCTTCCTATATGTATTTTCAAAACTAAGATCACCTGTATGCATCGTCTTCTTTCAAGTTTCATATCATCGTGTGGGGGTGGAGGGGGAAGAGTCCAGCAGCAAACCACACTGTAAAAATGAAAAAGAATATATTAAAACAAGAGTCAAGAACACAATATATCACTATCTTGAGAATTTTAAAATATGACTTCCTATCTTTAGGGAAGGAACCACACTTTTGTGTGGCATTGGGCTGTAAATACTATCAATATACACATAACTAGAAAAGAGATGGAACTTTTTAATAGGAAGCAGAATTGTTCAATTGTTCCAGGATACACCCAGAAGTCCAAAGACCTGTTTTCTGTTCACAATCATCAATCACAAATTGTTTGAGTCTGTGTGCAAGTCTGTCAGTGCCAATTTTTAAAAATTACCCTTTAGCTAATTCATATCTCAGGTCCCCAAAACAAAGATACCAATATATACCCAGCTTGAAAAGATCTTAAATATCTTTGGATATTGTGCTGTAGATACCTACAATATTATAAAACAAATAATGCTGAGTATGATTTTAAGCAATCCTGATAAAAGAACAGACATAGAAACACACATGAATGAAAACAGACTTCTGATGCAGTACATCTTTTGCTTCATTTTGCATGATGTTGAATTTAGTTCTTTCACTCCCAAATATTAATATTTTCCCAAAACTAGAAAAATAGCTTCATTACAAAATCAAGCAGAAAGAAAAGGTGAGTTGTTCAAGATAAAGGTCTAGCAATAATAAAAAACGGCAAGAAGCAGCTATAAAGAAAAAACACTGGACATATTTTTAAAAATAAAATAAAAAAGAAAACAAAACAAACAAAATGGCTTCATGCTTCAAATATACTTCAAAGTAAAATTCTAAATACTATACAACTGAAATAGAATATGAAGATACTTAGTAAGAACTCTGTATTTTAGGGAACAATTCTTCTTAGTTAACTAATTGGTTGTTTAATTGTTTTGCAAAATCTGTATTTTCCATTATTCACATTTGGGGATGCAAGTTTCTCTATTCTACTCTGCATCCCTTGGGAGAAACTAGATCACTAATCAAACCATTCCTGAAATACAAACTACAAACATTAATAACTATTTGTTTTCCCAAACTTAACCTATTTAACTTGGGTGCCCAAATTTATGAGTATACTCTTCAAACCCCCAACCCAAAACTTTTACATGCCTAAATATTTGCCAGGAAGCTCCTTAAACACTTGGCAATTTGCTGTGGTACATACCCAGAACAGGTGCAGTTCAGCACCTAATCTCATGCATAAGGCTGCTAAGAATCCACTAACTAGACACCTCTGTAGCCAAGTACCTTAACAAATTTAATCCACTAGGCACACTCTGAGGATGCCCAAGCCACAGCAGAAGCAAGTTCAGCACAAAATGCAATCACCGTGACTACTTTCATTCCAGAACATAGGAAAGAACACCTACTTTTAATATGAAATACAGATATCAACTGGCTTCTATATAAATCAGTAATTAGATAAAATCCGAAACAGTCGTTAGAGCAAGCAGTCCTGCCTAGACTCCTCTCTCCCAGATGGAAACCCCAATCAGTGGGCTAACTAAGTCATATACCCTCTATCGTGCTCTATGACACCATCTTCTAAACAGTAACACACCTTCACCAGAAGAGGTGAAGTTTTACACTTCAATCTATCTGTTAGACCGCTCTCCATAGAATGGGGAGTTATGGGATCATACTTTCTAATGGTAAGGAAAGCACTGGACCCTATTCCCCCACTTCCTTGGCAAGCACTAATCATTAGGCAATCATAAAAACATGAATATTGCTACCACTACATGCCTTTTAAAAAATAAGAACAAAAGACATCTGTTTCCAAAAGGGTCAATATAGGTAAATCACTCTAGGAGAGGGTTGCAGGCTATGAATCCTAATCTAGTCCTCACGAAGTGGTATTTCAAACCTCTGCAGTATTATGTTTTAGCTAGATTAAGTGCATTTCTACTCCCCCACCCACCCATGTCCTGCCATACTGTCTGTTATAAATCCTGTTGAGACACTCACTTCTCCCCCATGCATTGTATAGGAAACTGGCCATATGTCTAAATTAAAATATACTGGTGATTTTGACAATTCAGTGAAGAAACCTGCCCTGTATAAACACTTGTATAAAAGTTAGCAAGATACCTAGGTGAATTAAATGAAGCTAAAATATGATGCAATATTGAGCAATGGTCATCATGTTCTGAAAAAGTATGACACCAATATTACAGAGCATGGTCCAGCAGAGTGTTTTTCAAACTTTTTACATTTGCAGACCCCTAAAAAAATTTAATGGAGGTGCATACCCCTTTGAATTGTAAGTGTGGCTATTCACATATTTTTGATTGATCACAGACAACTTTCATAAACTCCTGAGTCATAGACTGCGGACCCCGGGGGTCCACAGACCACAGGTTGAAAAACACTGATCTAGCAAACACTGGGACTAAGAATCTAACGTTCTTATTCTTATCCTGACTGGTTCTTTCCCAATGGTGAAGCAATTATGAAGCAATTATCCACAAACACATACTTATGCTTGCTGTTGCTTATTGACTACTACAGGACGTTTTGCTGAAATGCTGAACTCCAACACAAACTTCCCTATCTTATGCTACATTGCACTTTATAGGTTCTCTAGAGAAAATACAGAAGATGTCAAACTAGAAGGGTATCCCATACGCAGGTTTAAATTCCAGGACAATCCAGAGAGATTTCAGTAGAATGATCTACAGATAATAAAGATTTAGAAATAGTAAAAGAAAACTCCTAAGAACAGGAAATCAATTTTTATGAAATGTGTGGATGTAAGCAAGCAGCCACATCACACATCATAGTCAAGCATATTTTTTGCCTCCTTAACACTGCTAAGAGTAACTACACACTAAAAAGTTATAAGACTATCAGGTTCACTCAAATCCAAGAACAAAGTGTCATCCCCACTGAGCACTGGGAAAGAAAAGCCTCATCTTAGATTCGAGTACCAGCCAAAGACAAGGTGGCTGATGCCCTGAGTGCAGAGGGAGATGGCACAGGAAAGATGTGTAAAAAACAAATGAGAGTGTGAGGCTATTGCTCAGCAACTCAGGAGAGCTGGTTACCAGCACCCAGAAGAATGCTGAACTCCTGAATGACTACTCTGCCTCAGTCTTTCACCGGGGCAAGGGGAAAACAATGCCAGGTAGAGTAGAGGATGAGCATGACAAGAATAATCGCCTCCCTACTATTGCCAGAGAATTGGTGTATGACCAATTAAAAAAAATAGACATACACAAGTAGGACCAAATGAACTTCATCCGAGTGCTGAAGCAGCTGGCCAAACTCATTTCAGAACCCTTGGCGAAACTCTACCACAACTCGTGGCATTCTAGAGAAATCCCTGAGGACTGGAAGGGGTGCCCATTCACAAGAAGGGCAGGAGGGAGGACCCGGGTAGCTATAGGCAATCAGCCTAACTTCCATCCTAGGGAAAATCCTAGAAAAGTTCACCAAGGAATCTATCTGCAATAAGCTTACAAAAGGTAAGATTCTGAATGACAGTCAGCATGGCTTCGTCGCAGGCAGGTCTTGCCTTACCAACCTCATCTCCTTCTATGACCAGGTAATTCACCAACTGGACATGAGACAGCAGGTTGACATTGTATACCTTGACTTCCAAAAGGTCTTTGATCTAGTACTCCATGATGTCCTCACGAGAAAATTGGAGGATTGTGGGCTTAACTCCAAGACAGTCAGGCGGGTAAGAAATCAGCTGCAGGACAGGACCCAGAGAGTCGTAGTGAATGGATCTGTCTCATCCCGGCGAGAAGGGGGCAGTGGTATTTCACAGAGGTCGGTGCTTAGTCCAGTACTTTTCAACATCTTTATTAATGATTTGGATGTGAGGGTGAAGAGCTCACTAGCCAAGTTTGTGGATGACACCAAGTAATGGGGGAGCGTGGTCACGCTTGAAGATAAACTACAAATACAGGCGGACTTAGACAGGCTAGCAAATTGGGCAGATCAGAACCTGATGAAGTTCAATATTGAGAATTGTAAAGTACTCTACCTTAGGATGAGCAACCCTCAACACACCTCTAGGTTTGGCGGCACCAAACTGACTAGCACCACAAACGAAAGGGACCTGGGGGTAGTAATAGACCACAATATGAATATAAGCCGGCAGCGCAATGCTGTAGCCAGTAGGGCAAATACTACTCTGGTATGCATCAACCTATGTACCTTCAGCAAAACCAAGGATTCTTCCGCTCTACTCAGCACTGGTGAGATGGCTATTAGAGTACTAAGTCCAGTTCTGGGCACCACACTTTAACAAGGACATGGACAAGCTTGACAGAGTCCAAAGAAGAGCCACCTGTATGATCAGAGTCTTACATGGCAAGCCAAGCCATATGAAGAATGGCTGAGGGATCTGGGATTCTTCAGCCTGAAGAAAAGGCGGCTGAGGGGGGGACCCTGTAGTAGCTTACTGCTACACTAGGGGAGTACATCAAGGGCTTGGTGAGCACCCGTTCACTAGGGTACCCAAGGTAAAAACTAAAGTAATGGCCACAAACTCCTGGAAGAATGATTCAGGCTCAACATTAGGAAAAAATTCTTCACAGTCAGGGTGTCCAGACTGCGGAATAAGCTCCCTCCAGAGGTAGTGAGATCACCTACCCTGGAAATTTTCCAAAGGAGACTAGACAGTCACCTTGCTGGCGTTACCTGACCCCCAGTAACCTTTCCTGCTTGGTGCAGGGAGCTGGACAGGATGATCTTCCAAGGTCCCTTTTGGTCTTACAATCTATGGATCTAAACCATCCTGTGTGCCAACCATGGGGAAGGCTGGACAGAGCAAGAGGGAAGGAAGAGTGCAGGGGAAACTGTGCAATGGCAGGAAAGCTGCTGCTGCAGCTCCAGCTCCAACCCCAGCCCTGATCTGGGGCCAAGGCCACCACAGCTGATTGCTCCAAGGTCAAAGCTGTCATCTCCACTGCTGTCTGGCCAGGTCTGGGGCCACCACATGCTCTATGCCCTGGACTAGAAGATGATATGTGGCTCAGAGTAAGCAGTAGGGAAG